AAGGTCACAGAAAGACACACACAGTTGATTAAGCCTTGAGATATAAATGTGCACTACCGTTTTGTATTCGGTATTCATATCTCTATATTTTTTACCAATAAAAATTGGAAGATCTACTGTATATATCTATTTTAGTGTGTGTGTGTGTGTGTGCATATACATTCTGTTTTAATTTTAAAGATTTAGTAATTTTGTCTTTTTTTACATTTATCTATATAATATTTATTAATTTTTATTTATTAGTTTTTTAGTTTTGTTTTATGCATTTGAGTTTTTTTGTGCAATTTAGTTTATATAGTATTAGTATTTAATTTTTATTTATTAGTTTTAGTTTATTTTATACAATTTTGTCTATATAGTATTTATTTTTTTCAGTTTATTATATGCATTTTGTTTTTATGCAGTTTGTCTATATAGTATTTTGTTTTTTTATTAATTTGTTTTAGTTATTTTAGTATGTCAACTTAAACTAAAATAAAAAAAAAAACGAAAAATAGCTGAAATAAAATTTTCCATTTTTAATATCTTTGTTTCTTTCATTTTTTTAAGTTATGATTTTTTTTTCTTTTTGTGGTTTTAGTTTAGTTAACGATAATCTCTCTGGTCCAATCACACATTTACTTCCCCTCTTTGTTTTTATCATTGGCTGTTATTTCCTGGAGCTCCTCGTGTGATTTCCAGTGTGTGCTGATAGTTAATAGCGCGCTCGTCCCGTCACAGGTGGTGTTTAACGTGAATAACGGCGCGGGCCGGATCACTGCGCGCAGCAGGAGCGCTCTGTCCATGTGTGACGGCCGCTGGCGCACCCTGGTGGCCAAGAAGCAGAAGCACAGCTTGAGTCTGACCGTAGACGGTGTGACGGTGACCGCGGAGAACCCGTACTCATCCTCCACCTCAGCCGAGACCAAAAACCCCATCTATGTGGGCGGATACCCAGGTATGGAGTTTCTGAGTCTGAGCACTGATTTTAATGCAGTTGTGTCAGTTTATCGTGTTACAGCGTGTCCTAACTGCACGCTACGCAACAAACACTTTGGCCGGGCTCTCTCGAAATGGATGAGTTTATAATCTAATTCATAAATATTAAACCTTTTTAACATTACTGAATGTTTTAATGTATATGTGAGCCTGCAGCACAAAAGCAGTCTTAAGTCGCTGGGGTATATTTGTAGCAATAGCCAACAATACATTGTATGGGTCAAAATTATACATTTTTCTTTTATGCCAAAAATCATTAGGATATTAAGTAAAGATCATGTTCCATGAAGATATTTTGTAAATTTCCTACCGTAAATATATCAAAACTTAATTTTTGATTAGTAATATGCATTGCTAAGAACTTCATTTGAACAACTTTAAAGAGGATTTTCTCAATATTTAGATTTTTTTTGCACCCTCAGATTCCAGATTTTCAAATATTGTCCTATCCTAACAAACCATACATCAATGGAAAGATTATTTATTCAGCTTTCATATGATGTATAAATCTCAATTTCAAAAAAATTGACCCTTATGACTGGTTTTGTGCTCCAGGGTCACACATGTTTGTTTTAATTTATTTTCAGGATCTGAGGTAAACGATCTGTTGTTATTTTCAGTATGGCTATAAATGTCACGCAATATGATATCCAAACTCACATTAGACACGTTTAACTTAGAATAAAGCACATAATCATTACCTGAGATGTTGTATGTTGTTGCTCCAGCCACGACGTCGCAGAAATAGAAACCGTTTCTAAAATAGAAATTTTGCGTGTCGTGTGTAGTTAGGACACGGTGTTATGGTGGACAGTGTTAACGCGAGTTATCAGATTACTTTTTTTAAAGTAACTAGGAAAGTAACGCATTACTTGTTAATTTAGAAGGAAGTCTGAGTTACTTTGTTTCCATGTGTTGAGTGACAGCTCTGGTGTTGCCATGGTGACAGAAATCAGGAGTAAGTGCAGAGTGTTGTGTGTGAACATGATCTTACTGTAGTTCTAGACTAAATATCAACATGTGTTTACTCAAACACATTCAGTGTTCCTCAGAATCAATAAAAACAGTCCAATGCAGACTCAGAATATTATACAAACCTGCAATAATTAAATATGTTATCAAATATCATGTATTTAATCCCATTTTATGAACAATAAAATGTTCATAAAATGAACTTTGCTGCTGACCTTCAACCATACTAATAATCAAAAATGACACATTTGTGTTTAATTTTAGTTATTGCTGAATAGTGTTGAACTTTCTTCTCCTGCGTCATATTCTTCATGTGATTAGTTTGAGCTGCGCCCTCTACTGTACAGACGTGAAATTACATTTCCTTCAGCTTGAGACGCATTCACTTCACTTTGTTGTGAAAGGGCTTTACATTTGTAAAAGAAGATCTTTTTATATTAAAAACAAACAAGCAAGCACTTCCCAGATTTAAAAAGTAACACATTACTGTCCATAAAAAGTAACTAAGTAACATAATTAGTTACTTTTTTAGGGAGTAACGCAACATTGTAACGCATCACTTTTAAAAGTAACTTTCAGTGTTTCTGTGTTCTCTCGCAGCGGACGTGAAGCAGAACTGTCTGAGCTCCAGAGAGCCGTTCCGCGGCTGCATGAGGAACCTGCGCGTCTTTAAGGGTCACGTCACCGATGAGCTGGACTTCAGCGCCGCCTTCGCTCACCCACACGTCTTCCCTCACTCCTGCCCGGATAACGCTGCGTAAACACCTCCGGTTCATGCAAACACAGCTCAGTCCATTTGTACAGAGAAGGTCTTGTCTAATAATGTTTGTGAATCGCAACATGTTTAGATTTCAGGGTTTCTGCGGGTCTTAAAAGGTCTTAATTCACCATTCCACAAATTAAGGCCTTAAAAGGTCTTCAATTAGAGCAGAAAGACTTAAATTCATAAAGTCATGGAACCCTCACTCCTGCCCGGATAACGCTGAGTAAACACCTCCGGTTCATGCAAACACAGCTCAGTCCATTTGTACGGAGAAGGTCTTGTCTAATAATGTTTGTGAATCGCAACATGTTTAGATTTCAGGGTTTCTGCGGGTCTTAAAAGGTCTTAATTCACCATTCCACAAATTAAAGCCTTAAAACATATTAATTACGTAAATAAAAAAGTCTTAAATAACTGTTGCATGCACTGGAAAAACAACTAAATCTTCAGTATTTCTGTCTTGTTTTCCAGTACAGATATCTAAACATCTTTAAATCAAGACACATTTACTGGAGATGCGAAATGAAGACATATGAAGTCTGAGAAATTAAAATTGAGTTTATGCTTAAATCAAGAAAAAATGTCAATACTGTGTGGAAAATGTGTTTTACTTTTGAATTTGAAGTTAATTTTTATTGGAGCCTATTAGCAGGTTTTTGTACTTGTTTTAATCATAAAACATTTTTTTAGAGCAACTGCAAAGTACATTTTAGTAAATAAAGCTTGTTTTATGACTTTTTTTTTTGTATTGTGACATTATTTTAATGAGATTTAAACATTCAAATTCCTGTAAAGATTTTTTTTTTTAATCAATAAACAAAAATAAAAATATATTATTATTGTAATAAATCAGGGCATTTTATTATGTTCAATATTGAACAATTTATGCTCAATTATGATTCTCATTAGTCTCATTTGTCATTTTTAGTCATTTCTACAGTAAAAATAAACTTATTAAATCAGTAAAGTTAAAGGAGCTACAACAATATCAGATTTTTATAAAACATTCGCTTCTCAAGTAAATGTATCTTGATTTAAGAATCCTTCAGACATTGGCTCTGGAAAAATGCCAAAAATAGTGAAGAAGAACGGTGTGTAAAAGTCATTTCCATTTTCTAGTGTTTGAAAGCAGAGATTTTTTTTTGTAAAAATGAATTAAAAAGTAATGTAGATCTGTTGGAAGTTGTATTTTCAAATGCTAATAAAACTCACTGTGCTCCCTAGACATTTACATTACATAGAGATCATACTGACGTCAATTTATTCCTTACATTTTCTGTACTTGTTCTTAAATGTGCCTTCATACAGCCTGCAGAAACCCTGCTTGTTAATAAAACGCTGGTTGTTTCTTAGTTGAGCGTTGTGCTTGTTTTATTGATGAAATTTCCGACTCATCGACATTCCTTCACTATCTGAGAGATTGCAGAAGATTCCAGAGCCCTGATCCCGAGATTCACACTCACACTCGCATACACACACTCACACTCACACACACTCTCTCACACACACACACACATACATGGAATACAGGAAGTGTCCTCATAAACTATGTTTACGTTGTAGTACCCATGTCATTATACACATTTGTGTCCTCATAAACCATATATACCAGAACACGCTTACACACACTCACTCACTCCCACACACACACTCTCGCACTCACACACTCTCGCACTCTCACACACGCTCTCACACACACACACTCACACTCACACATGCTCTTGCACTCTCACACACACACTCACACACATGCCCTCGCACTCACACACTCACACATGCTCTTGCACTCTCACACACACACTCACATGCCCTCGCACTCACACACACACTCACACACATGCTCTTGCACTCACACACACACACTCACACACATGCTCTTGCACTCTCACACACACGCACTCACTCGCACACATGCACTCGCAGTCACACTCTCGCACTCACACACTCTCGCACTCTCACACACGCTCTCACACACACACACTCACACTCACACATGCGCACACACACACACACACATACATACTCCTGCGCTTCTGCATCACCATAGCCTTTTCATATTCATTAACTTTTAAATGAACACCCATGTTTAGTAATTAACTGCTGACAGCATTTGAGACACAAGCGCTTGGACCACTGACCTTGAGTCAGTTTGTGCTGTAATATATCATGATCGTGTTTCTTCTGGATGAGAGTGTGTTGTGTTGAGATTAAAGGTCCATTTTCAATCATTTAATAACATTCATCACTGAACAAACCCGTCAAACACTCACACACATGCTCTTGCACTCTCACACACATGCCCTCGCACTCACACACACACACACACATGCCCTCGCACTCTCACACACACACACACTCACACACATGCCCTCGCACTCACACACACACACACACACTCACACACATGCTCTTGCACTCACACACACATACTCACTCTGCAGGTGGTTTCATGTGTTTTAATCGAGTTAGTTTCATAATGACCTGTCGTTTCACCCACTATTACAACATGACTAGTCATAGTTTAGCAGTACATTCTCATGATATGAAGTCTTTGATATGGCTACATGTTCTTCATAATACTCAGAGACTTCATGTTAGGAAGAGGCTTGGCTGACTCGTTTTGGTTTTGATGAAACAAGGCTACAAAGTAATGTTCTGATGGTTTTAAATAACTGTAAAATCCTTCAATGTAACACTCAATATGATAAAACACCAATACATTCATCATGAGGAAAATAAATGATCTTCAACACAAATCCAGTCGACAACAGCAAAAACACGTTATATAAAAAACAAATTAAAAAAATCACAATTAACAGGTGAACATTCTAGTACATCGTACATAACAATTAGAGTAATTAGAGTAAAAATTAGCTTTTAGAGTTAAAAAAAATCTAATTCAGAGCATCAAAGAGAACGATGATGATGATGATGTTACTGGCAGACATTGAGAATATGATATATACATCACTCATCCAGTGAAAGTTCAAAGGTCGTTTGGCTTCTGTTGTGTGGCTTTGTTTCTGTAGTTCATGAACTTTAATGTTTCTGGATTCTCATTCAAGTCCTTCATTAATCCGGTTAGTGTTTGATGACATTGGCGTTAATATTTATCTGGTTTAATTAGAGGTAATATTGACCTGTGTTGATGAATCTCACAAGAACACATCCAGCTCATATTTCACACCGAAACCCAGTGTCAAAAATATATTTAGCTTTGCTTATAGTATATATATATATATATATATATGTGTGTGTGTGTGTGTGTATTTGTTGAATTATGATGTGATTATTTGAATTCCACCTCAACCGTCGAGCAACGCGTCGCCGTGGAAACGCTGAATCAAATTACGCACCGCTTTTTAACCGTTGACGGGATGAAACGACAAAGATATTAACCCGGCGAACATCGTGAAGTGATTTTCACCGTGAATTTACGACTTGACCTGGAGAACGAACGCTCTATAGACGCAGGTAACCGCACACACACGCTCTCAGTAATACTCTTTAATACTGTACCTCAAGAAGCCCAAGCCGTCGTAGCTGCTTCTAAAGTGACTATGTAAAGTGAATTAGTATTTGTTAAACTCTCAGCGGCCGTTCACACACGTTTTTTATTCACTGAGCTGCTTTTCTATGTAAACGCCGTGCTAAACGGACGCGTTTGAGCGTTGCGCTTGCGTCTTTTGCGGCATCTCGCGTTCTAAAAACGCAGCGTTTAAGTCAAAATAAGTTGAACTTTAAACAAACGCGTCTGGAGACCAGTGCTTTTCCCCATTGTTTTTCTAATCAGAAACGCGTTGTGAAGCTTAACGGCGCGTTTGAATCTATGGCGTTAGAATTTACTGTAGCTACAGTCTATCTTAAATATCTTAAATCCATCTCAACAGATTCATAGCGATGATTGTAGACGTTCACACAGAACGCGTTTTTGTATTCCACTTTCCGTGTAAACTCTATTCCATGTAATTCTATTCTGTTTCTATTCCATCTACTCGTTTTCTTATTTATTTAAAAAACACTTAATCCTTTAACACTTGCACTCTTTTCAATACTTGCTTTCTTTTTATTTAATAAAAAGAGTAGAGCTTATGGTTATGGATACTACTATGCCTTGTTCAATGAGCAATAGCTCTGCTACTGCAGTATTTTCCAATATTTATCAAGTATTTTCCTGCTGTATACAGTCTTTTAATTGTACAAAATAACTCAAAGTCAAAAACAGACAGGTCTTACTTAAAAATCACAGACTTTTGAGAATCAACTTAAAATAAATGAGCACATTTCACTAATTATATTAAATCCATAGTGTCATAGATTAAATAATTTAGGAGATTTTACGTGATTTATTCGGGTAGATTCCGTTAAAAATTCAAGCCTTAAAACTACTCAAAAATATTATGCGCAATATTGTTACCATAATTTTAAAACACCAGGGATTCCCAAACATTTTCATCAGCTGAACCCATGTGAGCTCAAATATTTACTAGAGATTTTAAGTTAATATTTCAATAAAGTTTGATGGGTTAATGGTCACATTTAATGTAAGGAAACTAATTTTTATGTTTGATTGATTTTATTTAAAAACCTTTTTTTGTTGTTGACATTTTTATGATGCAGCTCCCTCATGACTACACACTCATCTGCACTCACTTCACTGCGCTCGCGCTCCTTCTCCGTGTTCCATCTCTTCAGTAGTCTGCTCTTGCTCTTCTCTGAAGTCGGCATTTTTTTGCCCATGGCGGCTTCGTTCATTTTCCTGACGTGGGAGATCAGAAAACATGGGACCTTCGGACATGAAGAGCAGACATCAGAAAACAACGACTTTAAAGGGGTCCTATTATGCTTTTTCACTTTTTTAATTTTAGTCAGCGTGTAGTGTGTATGTTTGGGCATAAAAAAGATCTAGAAAGTTACAAATCTCAAAGTCCACTCCAAAGAGAGACATTTCGTTTTTTAAAAAACCTTTTTCAAGAACTACAACGAACGGCTCGTTTGGACTACAGCGTTTGGTTTCCGGGCTTTGTGGGCTCATTAGAATATCATTACAAATAATTCCCGCCTACAGAAATTGGAATGGTTGGGGGGTGGGGAGTGGCGAGGTTGTGGTTAACGCTTGGTTGAGTGAGCGCATCAGACGAGACGACGAAGAAGAAGTGCTGCTGCAGAGTTAGTGCATCAGAGAAAACCAAGAAGAAGAGCTGCTGTGCTGTAGCGTCACATTTTTGCCATGTCTAGAACAATTCTTACAAGTAGCTGGGCGCCGCGGACAGACGCTGAACGGCGCCGCCGGTGTGCCTACACTCATAGAAAATAAAGTATTTGAATTTTCTGAGCATCACCTGCACCTGTTTATCAATCTCAGCCAATCAGCGAAGACACCTCATTAATATTCATAATCTCATGTAAAATTAAGAGATTTATCTTAATGCGTTTACATTTTCAGATAGATCGATTATAGAAATAGAAATTGCTATATGCGTGTAAAAAAAAAAAAAAAAAAAA